TGCCGAGCCGGGCGGTGCTGACAGCCGGAGCGGCGGCGGCGGGCGGGCCGAGCAGCCGGGGCAGCCGCGGGCACCGAGCCTCCGTCCCTGTCTGCCTCGCTCCCGGGCCTTTGTCACCGCGCCCGCGGGGAGCGGGCCCAGAGAGAGCCCGACAGACAGCCCCGCAGTCCAGCGGCCGGCCGAGGGCGACAGAGGGACCATGTCTTACCAGGGCAAGAAGAGCATCCCGCACATCACGGTAAGCGGGCGGGCGCCCGCCCCTGCCCCGCAGCCGCTCTTTGTGGGGTGGGGGTGGCCACTGTCCGGGTCCCGATCCGCGGGGGGACTGCAGACGCGGCCCTCGAGGCTGCCTGCGCCGCCGCGGGTGGGGCGGGGCCGGTCTGGGCACGGCAGCCCTCTCCCCCCAGCCTCTGGGGACAATGGGGGTGGGGGGAGCCCCGCGTGGCGGGGCGGGGCTGGAGCCTGCAGCCTGTCTCCCCGCGGGCTTGCCGCCCCCTCCCCCGCCGGGATGCTCCAGAGGATGGCGTGGACCCGGAGGATGCGGAGCCGAACAAAAGAGGGAGGGGCGCGGGGTCTGAGCCCCCTCCCTCTGGCCCTCGCGCCGGGATGGGGAGGGTCAGCTGGGCCTGCAGCGGCCCCCGCACCGCCCGGCCCTTGCACCTCGCGGCAGAGGAAGGGGAAAGATCGGCCGCCGCCCCCCGCTCCCGGCCCATCCTGATGGGGAGGCGGTCGGGACCTGGAGACAGCGCCATGATGGAGGCGCCGCTCCCACCCCTCGGCGCGGCTAAAAATAACCCAGGGGGGCGCACTGGCAGCTGCGGCCCCGGAAGGGTTAACGCCGCTGAGGCTGGGCCACGGGAGGGTGGGGATGGCAGTGGGGGCTGAGCAGTCAGGCTGTGTCCCTGGGTGTGGCCGGAAACAAAGGAACCCCGGTCTTTACGCTTTGTCTCGGAGGTGGGGATCTGAGAGCGCAGCGGTCTGGAGCTGGCGCCTCCACCCCAGCTCCGCCGCCTGGCACCAGAGTCCAGCCAGGCCATTCCCGAGGGCCGCGGGCCACAGGCACTGTGGGTTTGGGTGGTGGTGCAGGAGCAGCCGGGTGCTGAGAGGAGGGATTCTGGGTGTGGTGGAATCCTCCAGGGTGACCCCTGAGGTTCCAGGACTGGAGACCCAACTGCTCATTTATGCGGAATTCAGGCTCAGGGACAGACAGCCCCAGGGCACAGGCAAGAGGGCAGGCTTGGGTGGGGGAGGGAGCTAACACTTTCCACCAGCCTGCTCAGAGTACTGCAGACCGTTTTCTTGAATCCTGGCAACAGTCCTTTGAGGGAGGTGTTGTCCAGCAAGGCTCCCAGAGGCTGGGGCACCGGCTGGGGGTGCAGGTGAAAGGAAGGTGGGGAGGGAACCAGGCCCCTTGCCTCTCCTGCACTGCCCCGCCCCAGCTCTGGGCTGAGTCTTGAGCTAAAAAATCCCTCATAGGCCCAGCTTCAGCTCTGGCCAACAGACCATCTAAAGCTGTGACCCTTGAGGGTGGGGACAACCTCTTATCCATCCCTAAGCTCTGCCCTCCAAGACACAGAGATGCAAGTGGCCAATCTGTAAACACTGTAGTTGGGAAGGAATCAATGAAGGAATATGGCTGCCCAGGACTAGGCGGTGGGGGAAGGAAGCTGGGGCTATTTGTCTGAGCAGGTCCCTGCCTTGGGACCCTCTAATCCTGCCCTCCCAGGAGAACTGAGGCAAGCGATGGGGGTGGGGCTGATGCAGTGACCAATGAGTTGGGAGCCCTGGGTCCCTTTGTGTCTGTGTGGCCACGGCAGATCTCTGCTTCTCTCAGGACCCCACTCTCCAGGATGGAACTTTAACAGGATGATTTTTGAGGCAGGTCGGTGGGAATGTTGTACCCAGAGTCACAGTTCTCAGTCTGCTCAGCCACAGTGGTCACCCTGCTTTCCAGTTGTCACCTTGCCTTCTGGCTGTGACCCTCTGGAGTGGCAATGAGCTGCCCAGGCTTTTGCAACAGATGCATCTATGTGCCTCTCTGAACCTCAGTGCTCTGATTTCCAAAGGGGCCCCCTCACAGGACTCGCAAGCATCCTAGACCCTGGCAAAGCGTCGAGTGTGTGCTAGGCATGTAGGAGGGGCTTCAGAACTGCTGGCTGATCTTGATGCTTCAGTCCTTCATGCGAAGCAATTTGTCAACTTGTAGATAAAGGAAAATCAGAGGGGTAGTTCCAACAGCCTCAAAAGGTGGTTCCTATGAGCATGGGGAGGCAGATACTGGAAAGTATGCTTAGTTCTGGGAAATCAGCCTTTGAGGAGGCATTTGTGTTTCATTTGGCCCATATCACCCACCACAGCCAGAAAAATTTGTAGTTTTAAGGAGAAAACAACAAACCAGAGAGGACAGCCTTGGATGGGGCTTCTTCCCAGGACCTGTCAGCTTCCTGAGGACCTTTGGCTAAAAAGACAACGTGTTGTGATAGGAACCAGATTCTTCCCTTAAATGCCATTAAACAAAGGGTGGGCGCTGTGGCTTTCCAAATGCTGCACTATAACCTGTTCTTCAGCAGTCTGTGCTGGGCATTGTGCTGGGTGCTAGGGGCAGTGGGAAGGAGGCGAGCTCACCCTGGCCCTCCCAGAGCTTAGCAAAGGCTGACACTGAATCCTGTACTTCCACTAAAGGGGGGTGGGTGTCATAAGGGAAAGTACAGGGGTCTGGAGGGGACACCAGCAGGGCCAGCAGCCCAGACTTGAGAGTGGGAGGGAGGCAGAGGGGACAGCAAGGAGGGCTGGGTTCTTCCTGTGGTGTGTGGAGACCTGGAGGCAGAGGAGTCAGCATGTCAGAGAAGGTGCAGGAAAGGAGCATCGCAAGAGCCCAACCTCTGCTTCCAAGTGCGCTTCTCTGTGCAGTTAAAGCAAATCCTGGAGATGGTGAAGATATTTTTGGCAGCCATGGTGTGTGTGGCCTGCAGAGAGACCAGGGGGCTTGAAAAAGGGTCAAGTTGTGGGTCATGGGAAGAAGAGCAGGGTGGCAGGCGTAGCTCTTAGCTGCATTCCCAGTCCCCATCTGCTTGGTGCTGTGTCACTCTGTGCCCTTCTGAGCCTCAGGTGTGTCATCTGAACAATGGGGAGAAAGGTTCCAGCTTTTCCAATGAATTCAGAGACAGCAGAGACTGGCACTAGAGTTGGGGAGGAGAAGGGGCATCCCAGACAGGGCCACAGTGTGGACAAAGGCAGGGGGACAGGCTGAATTGGGAAAACGTTCTGCTCAGGTAGATTATAGAGGGGTGTCTTCTTCCTCTTTTTTCCATTGCAGGCTTTTTCTAAGATCATAGAGTAGCCTACTAGAGAAAGAAGAGGGAAAAAGCAGAAACACTTAGCCTCAGCCCCCAGGGATTGCTTAAAATATTTATAAAGCGCTCTTGCATGTGTGGCTTTTTCTTTTTCTTTTTTTTAATTAATGGCACAGCTGGGGATTAACTTAGCTGAAGCGCTTTCAGGCCCACTGCTGCAGTTAAGTGAGTGGGGCATCCTGGGCGTGGCTCTGAGCAAACAAAGCACCTGGCTTCATGGCCCTGCAGAAGATGTTGGCACCAAAAGGGAGGCCTGCTCCATGGGGGGTGAGGGGGCAGGGGGAGTCCTGGGTGTCCACCACAAGGTGAAGAGTTAGTCCAAGCATTCAGCACGAGTTCCATTATTTCTCACTTGGTTTTTGGAACAGTCCCATGAGGGAGGCAGCCTGATGTGCAAACATGCAAAGAACGTGCGGCATGTCAGGATTCTCCCGAGGGTGCCATTCAGCCTCGCTGTGTATATTCAGTTCATTCCTTGCCTTTTTGCACAAAGGATTTGAGATGCCTACAATGAAATCAGATGGAAGTCAACTTCCAGGACTGAGGATCAAGGAAGAGCAGAGAACCAACGTGCCAGTCACTAGGGACTGTTGCAGGGGCTGTGACTGGACACCTGATATGGATTCTGAGTTCCTGTCATCCAGGACAGAAGTGAATCCCCTCAGTTGTGTCAAGTTCCTGATCAGAGAGAGAGGAGAAGGCCATATTCCCAGGGAAAAATATTTTGTTAAAATTCTTAAAAAGTGTCTTAGAAGGGAGCTTACAAGTGATACTGAGTTATGACCTCTTTTATAACGTAACTATGCCAACCTAGCCCTGAATGCCTGTTTGTTGTAATGAACTTGGCCAAGACTGAATACATGGAACATACAGGATATGACATACATGGGTGTGCTTGGCACAGACTATCTAACCGATCACAGTTCCCTTCCCCAAGCTCAGACTCTTTCTTCAAGGAGATGAAAATTCAGAATGGCAGCTGACCAGCAGGTGTTAACCTCATACCTGTTATGTTCCTTGAACTGTGCAAGGTATGATGGGCAATTAAATCATATATTTTATGATCCCCAACCTTAATGAGCTTGCCATCTAAGTGACAAAGGGTACACTCATGAAACAATTTAAGAATGGCTAAAGGGTAAATTGTGGAATGGAGCATAGATGTTAGAGGAATTCAGAGAATAGAGCACTCAGCATTGGTAGAGGCAATAGGAAGAGGCTACTTGGGGTTGGGAGGATGGCACAAGCTAGTTGTTGGAGGATTTGGTTGGTGGAGAGAAGGGAAGGGCATGCACGGAAGGTGGAACAGCATGGACAAGATCTGGGCTGCGGAGCAAATGGTCAAAAGAGAGTGGGGAGTTCTGCACAACTAAATCAGAGGGTGAGAAACTTGAAATAAATTTGATTCTGCAAGGTTTTGGAAATCAGTCGGAATGCATCCAAGTGATGGAAATGACACATAGGTTCTAGGTGTAGCTCAGATGCTGATAAATTCTTTGATCTTGGGCAATTCACTTCATCTTCTGGGGCCTTCAATTCCTTCTCTTTACAGTGAAAGAGTTAAAATAGATAATTCAGTTCCGAGCTTTGGGACACTCTGACTTTCAATGACATACCTGTATTTCTTACTCATAATACATGAGATCTGGAGGTTGGCTGTAACTTTGCCCCTGGCTGCTGGCCTATTCCATGCATCTCTTCACTTTCAGACCCAGGTGAAGGAGCAGAGACTGGCAGCAACCTAAAATCACTTAAGGAAATTCTGCTCAAGTATGGCATATCATTTCTCATCTGTTTATAGTCCACTGGCCAGAAAAAGTCATGTGATTAAGCTCTAACTCAATGGGGAGAATCCCAAAATTAGTCTTTCTGGAGGAGATATGAG